TATATATATATATGTATAAACATTACGTCTGTCCCACCCATTCTCGTTCGCGAAATATCCGATATTGCACCCGCATTCGACATTTACCGCCTGCAAATCCGACAAAAGAAGAAAAAAAACGACAACTGTGCCTCTCCCACCTTTTTTTAATATATAATGCGATTAATGCGATTAATAATATACCTAATACAATCTACTTCTCTTGATACTTTATCAGCAATTAATTACACCGATTAGTACAACTTCTCATCTACTACGGTCTACGGTATATAGTTTCGTGCAAAAGTGGAAGGAGAGATTGCTTGGTGCATCGAATCCTGTCGAGGTAAACTCCTTTCTCTCGCGGCATTTTCGCGGCCGACCCCCCGCGAAGCACGAGGATCGGGGTCGAGCCGAAAACCGTTACCGGCAAATCAACAGGCGCGGCATGAACACGATTTGGAAACGCGTGGGCAATATACGAGGCTGTTCTCACCGTAAATTGAATAATAAAAATTTAATCATATCCATTATCAACAAAACATTCAATCAATAAAAACTATTTCTGAAAATAGATTTCTAATCATATAAATTGTACGTACACGATGCATTAGGAGATAGAGGAGTATTGAATAAATTTAGAAATTTAAGTTAAATTAGGGAAAGAGATTAGAAAAATTAATTTCTCATACAAGTTTAAATTAAAAGATACTATTGCACGCATTCTCTTAATTAATGCGACTTTGAAACATTATCAGAACGTGAAAACGCGAGAAATGAATAACTTTCGTTATTAGCTTGACAGCTGGTGAATTAAATACACGCACGCGCGCGCGAGAACAACCTCGTACAATAAATAACCGTAATTGATCGGGCGAATAAGCCGAGAGTTATGCTCAGATAGGTAGACCGACCTGCGTCATCGGATCCTTCATGATGAGGACATCGGTGACAGTGCCGAACATGTTAAAATATTCCCGCAGCTTTTCGCTGCTCGTCTGCCAGGAAAGGCCGCCCACGAAAAGCTTGCCCGGCGCCGGGTCGCCGCCGTTCGGCGTACTCCTGCCGGAGCTGCCTGAATGGCTACCGTTTATCGGCACCAACGTATTGTGGAAGTCGTGCTCGATCGCGCCGTTTGTTGCCTCCATGCCGGCGCTGTGAACAAAAATAAATCGATCATAAGTCCATTTGCAGTCAAGCAAAAATCCACGTGGCGTTCCGGCTCGTGTTAGTACTAAAAGCTATTAAATATTATGATTTTATACAAATTTTTTTAAAACATATAGTACCAATTCCTTTTATTTCTTACAATAAAGCAAATTGTAAATTATACGTATATACACATATACATATATATATATATATAT